TGAACCTGCAGCTTGAGAATAATGATGTAATGATTTATTATTCAAGCCACACTCTTAAGTCCTTAACAGACTGATTATATGCATGTGATGCATCCTAGTTTCACTGGTAGATCCATAAAACTCAGAGTGAAAACCCACTACTAGCTTCTATACGCGGTAATGCTGGGTTGGCTCAAGTTTAGATCAGCAGCTTCCTTAGCTTTGAATTATTCTTTCTGAGAAGCGCACCAATCACTTCTAGATTCTAAGCGTGGAAGTTGGGTTTTAGTGAAGCTCAAGAAAGGCTATCATAATCTTTCTTATTCAGCACGTTAACATACACTTCACACTGATTGCTACCAGCCTGGAGCAAGAAATATGAAAAACCACCAAACTGATAGAAAGAAAAATCTTCCCAAATTACATCATACATCAACATCATATCAGGTTCCCCCAACCCACCAATTTCTAGCATCTAAGGCCTCTAAGCATCTAAAGTGTGAAAAATCAATAAGTCACTTGAAATCTAGCGTAGGAATTTTTAGCTAAGACGAAAAGTACAAAGTCAGTAAATTGATAAAAACCAATTGAAAAGGTAGCTACATAATTCAAAGGGTAACAGAGTGCATGTGTGTAAACTTTGTCTGGACAGTTTTAAAACAAAAATTTGTATTCGGAACATAGAGACATTGTGACAAATAAATAAATAAATATATATATATATATGTATCAGACAGAGATAGAGAGAGAAAACCACTCACCGTAATCACATGCTGTTGTAAGCGTTTCATTAGAAACGGCGGGAGCAATTCCACTCCCAGCATTCAACTGTAATCGCAAGTCTAGTTCACCAATAGAAAACTAGAATATGCGAGATAGTATCCTCACTAACTCATGCTTAAGTCATAATGTTTTACTCTAAGCACGTACGGGAGGTGAAGGTTTTGACTTGCTCTCCTTTCTTAGCGAACGAATAAGTGCTGGCGCTGCCTTTCGCGTAGAAGCATTTCCATTACTTGACTTATCTGAATATTCATGACGTACTAAAATGACTTTCTGTGGCAAGCGATGTTGAAGGGACACACCAAATCGATTCTGTTCGGAAAACCTTTCTACGTCACAAAATCCTTGATTTGAAATTCCTTTTTCTGCTTCCATCTTCTCACTCGATGTACTATCTTGAGAAAGATCGAACGCTGCATTATAATGTACACCGCAAGGGGGAAAGGGTTTATCGTCCTAAAAATACCGAGTTTCTAGCAAGTTATTGATTTGCTTCACTTTACTTAAACATTTGACGTCGCGCTGAAACAATGTAAAGGATCTTGGTCACGATCATCTACTTATCCTCACTCTCATCCTAATCGTCATATTTGTATCGTGATCTGCTTTTTGGATTTTAACTTCCGAAAATGGTCTTGTAATAAAATTAAATAGATTGGATAGGGCCTATTCAAGATAATTCGGTAACAAGTTTGACTAGATGCGCTCAAATACATTTTTATTTCCGTTGGGACAAGAGTGTATTTGGTACTGCACAGAGCTCACATGCTCCTCTGTAACCTAAAACCAAGGCCAAAATATTATTATTATAATATATATATATATAATTATTACAAGTGAACAGAAAATTGTATGAATGACATAGCGTTGATGACAAATTTTTTGAAAAATTCTTAATTAACAGAAGCAGTATTCTACTTTTTCCGTTCAAAGATGAAAATTTGCTGCAAAGAAAGGCAGATTTGGAATTGGAAATGTGATCATTTTAAATTTTGCATCTTTTTTTGCGATTTTTTCGCTAAAATGAGGACCCTTGCTGCGATGAAGCCTCAGGCAGAGTCAAACCTCTGCCATTTGAGGAATGGGATACACAACAGCTAAATTTGAACCTTAGTTTTTAGCAGCACAAACTCGCTGAAATTCTTCTTAAAAAATGTAGCTTATGCGGAATACAAAAGTCCTTTATCAGGTACGAAAGACGGCCTGCTTTGGATACAAGCGTTCTCCAACCCCGATTCTATCGAAATACTGCGAAAATTGTGACAATGTCTTGAAGCTATTCAATTAATACATTAGGTTATTTATAAAAGTCATATGCTGAAACATCTGAAATATTAAACATATAAGCAAAGTTCTTCGCACTATTCTAACGATCTTCAAATTAGCTGACCTTTCTTCTACCTAAAGAGTATAATAGATATTTATCTATTGTTATCGTTTTAAAGGCAGCGAAATTTTAACCAAAACTCTTTTGCCTCGACTCATTCATTTCTCTTCGGAATCCAACCACAATTCCGCAAAGTAATGGTGGTCATAAGAAAGAAGTCGTTAAAAGTACTAACCTGGAACTCAATTTTATCACGGAGCTTCTCAAACATGCTCAAAATGTCGGCAAAAGAAGGACGTTGGTCTTTTTCGTAAGCCCAGCAAAGCTGCATTATTTTGTATCTAAATTCCATTGACTCTAGTTCTATTCAATATCTCAAGAAAGTTTGAATGAAGAAAGACGTGCAATGGATCTGGACAATAAGCAGGTTTTGCAGGAGTTCCACCATTTCTAACATGAGCGAGGACCTGAAAACTTTTGTAAAATTTGCTCAGTGACGGAGAAAGTTTTGCCATACCTGATTATTATCCATGTTATGGTAAGGTTTCTGCCCCATTCCAACTATTTCATACATCAGTACTCCAAACGCCCATACGTCACTTTTAGATGAAAAAACACCTTGTAGAATGCATTCGGGAGCCAGCCATCTATATCATTTATTAAAGG